CACAATCGCAAATTTTGACTAGTATCTCGTAGGTAAGTGTAGGTAGTGCATGTGTCGCTTTATCGCTAACTTATCGATGCGCCTTCAAGCATGATCTCTACTGATGACTAGCAGTAGACATGGATGTGTGAATTATTGTCTCCATGCCTAATTGTTTGAGATGTCATATAATTTCCTTTCTCTTGTTTTTTTTACCTTCGTGTTCACATGAAAATGAGATCGCTGTACAAGTACATACTATGCAAAAACTTATACATTTTGTAGAATTCAAAGCCTAGCATTCACTATCAAAAAAGTGTACTAGCATTTCTATTAAGGTATATGTTTACGAATTGTGTTCATATTGTTGTTTATCTTCCACTTACGGCTTATTACTTTACAAATCGCAATAAATGCCCGATAAACACAGAATGTTGTTAGAGCTTTTCGAGGCAATAATGTCATTTGTACTGCGGTAGTTCAATTCATTATTTTGATGTATTTTCAATTTAGATCATTCTTTTAATAAAACTTAAAATCATTTGTACGCTACATGTCATCATATTTACTGCAGATTTTTCTGTACAACAACAAAAACGACATAATGACATCATCATAATCACGCAACAACTGCATCAATGTTTTCTAACTCATAATTACAGGGAAGATCTTTGGAGGAATGGTTTAAACTATAGTTGAAGCATTTGCAATTTTTTTTCCGAATGAACGAATATCGAATATTCGTTCGTAGTAATGGTATAACGGATTATTACTCGAATCGCCATTTAAAAAAATATTCAAATCCGAGTATTCGAATAGTGGAGATCTTGTATATTCCAATATTCGAATTATCGAGTAACTGGGCATGACCGAAGCACATTCGAACAATGAAATAAGCGCGTTTTTTCGAATATTGGACTATACGCATGCAAATAATCGAATATTCGAAAATTTCAACATAAAAACTCACTTCAATCGTATTCGATGATTTCGCGGATATTCGATCGAACAAATATTCGATGAGTTCACACTCGAACGATCGAATATTATTCGAATCTCCCAAACAATTCGAACTCGAATAATCGAATGTCGATGTTTCAAAATACTCGACTACTATAATCGAATAAATGTATCTTTTCAGTTCGACTATTCGAAAAGACGAATAAATGCGCTTTTCAAATATTCGTATTAACCAAAATGTTCGATTTTCGAACCGAATATTCGATCTCAACTAGAGTTCAAACCCTTCTGAGTCACAAATGCTCTTGGCCGTATACTCCGCCTTTGTTGGCCACTGATTAGAAAACCGCCTTCTACCATCCAAATGCTTTCTTTTTCGTTGAAAGTTCTTGCAAACGTCGATGAGCCACAGCGCTGTCGAGAGCTTCGTAGCTCTGTAAAAGCAGCTTAGATTTAACACGGATAGCATATGAGCTTATGCAGACAATTTTAGAAACAGTGCGGTCTTTCAAGCCAATGAAATGACGCAAAGCTCACCGACAGCTTAGCTATGTCTCCATATCCAACTAATGATGGCCGTCCAGATAACATTCGCTCCGCAATCCGTACAATATCATCAGCTGTAACTTTATCTGAAAGCACATGCTACTTAAAGAGGAGGAGTGAGCTGACTGCGGCTTAATGATCATGTAATCATCCAAAAGACTGACAAGCTAAACCGCCTACATGATACACCACAGGTGGGCATATCTTAAATTGTTGACTACGAGATTCTATATGACCTATTGATTCGATGTAACTGCCAAAATGACGGAAGTTCGGAAGTTTTGTGATTAACAAAACTTCCAATTTGGGCATTTCTATAGGGTTACAATTCCGACAAATTTAGCGTTTTCTTGTGACCATCTCGCAAAAATGCAAAAAGATCTAAAATTGACGCAAAACTCCAAAGAGAGTGAGACCATAGCCTGATAGTGTGACAGCAGCACTCTGCCAGATCGTATGCTTGTAACTCACAGAATGTAGTCTGTCAGAAGACTCATTTTCAAGCAATCTATTCGAATGCGTAAGCCAAGTTATATATTTACTTATTTCTGATGATACAAGTTCAAAACAACATAGAAGATTCTTATAGTGCAAAATAAAGACATACTTCAGCGCATGTTTAACGCTGAACTCACCAATCTTCTCCAAATATTCTTCCGGCTTTCTCCTATAACCGTGGCCAATTACCTGCCGTGCAAGGTCTTCGAACATCACTGGCCTGACCTCCAGATTCATCATTAGTTGTGATTTGAGTTGAATCTTGGCACTAAAACCTTAAATGATCCTAAGGGATTTCAAAAATCTTTAGAATAACAGACAACATGCCGTTGAAGTTCCGCTTTCTCTACACCCTTAAGTAGTTTGAAAAACTGATCGAGTATAATAATAAGAACATCATTGATCTGAAAATTTCGCACAACATTTCCATTAGATCAAAGAGCACATAACGAATCCAATGTTTGTACCTGCTCTGGATCACTACTAGCATGCACACAAAATAGTCCAGCGTCAGCATAAGAGTGATTGAAAGCGGTGGCTCCATAGATCCAGTGACACCTTTAAAAAATTATTGCTCCTATCAAAGTTTGGGGATGAAAGCAAAAAAAGCAGGATACATATATCGATATATGAATTCTTGAGATACGCATAGCACCTATTCATAACATCAGTGTACAGACGTGTGTACATTCCCTTCCCGGGACCGCCAGCCGAGAACGATCCTCCGCCACCCAACAGCATATGCAGCACGCAGAACGGAACGAAATCAGGATCTCTGCAATTCAATTCATCTAATTCCCCGTAACACTGCAAGTGTGATGATCAGCTCAAACCTATAACCAACACCCTCGAATCCCAGCGCGATATGTGCTAGATTTGGATACGGGGTACCAACAGCCAGTGTGGATAAGTCTTTTTCCATCTAAAAAATGCAGTCCAAATAAGGAAAAAGCATTGAACATAAAAGCACCGTACTGAATTTTATAGATTTATTTGATAGGTTAAGCGGAAGCCTTAGGCGAAAACTTCTGACGGCGAAACCAAGACATTAGAATCTTGATTCATTCCAAAAAGAAAACAAAAGTTTTTTGAAGACCGCTCAGATAAGCTTAACTTTTGAATTGGCTGACCCCTTGCTTGCATGTGAATAAAACAAACCACTGTTTGCTTATATGTAAGGAATATATCAATAAAACAAAAAAAAAACTTGAGAATGATGGCTCTAACCGAATGTTTAACAGAGACAAAAATAATCAACGTGGCTTTTCATTAGGATGTGCACAAGTGAACATGGCTTAAAACACTGAAATTGAGTCTATTTCCCTTGTCTGCGACCTCTACTTTTAAAAAAATCTAGACGAAAAAACGCACAAAACCTGTAAAAATTCTGTGAAGGTATATAATTTTGAGTTAAACCAGTAAAATACACACTCAATGTTAATTGCCTTTCTACTGCAAAATGATTCTTGTAGCATTCTTAAACAAAAGTTATTTCAATGCAATTAAACAGTTCGTTCAAGCTTTTTGGCAGAAAAAAACTTTCACTACTTCTTCGAAGGAGTTCCGCAGATACAGA